AGAAAAAAAACAAAATTAACAGTCAACTATAAATCAGAGACATTCTTCAGGGGAAGGGAAGGAGAGAGATCCAAACGGGAGGGAAGAGCAGAAGGGACTATGCTGATGGTGCATTGGTGACTTGGTGGTGGGAATATTATGGGGACTACACCTGAGAGAAGAAAGCAAACATTGTACAAAAATGAACAATAATGTAAAATATAAATAAATAAATTTAAATAAAAAATAATGTAAAGATTAACTGGAGAGGGGCCCTCCTGGTTTGCATAGGGGTTAAGTCTCAGCATATCATTGCTATACCCTGAATTCCATCTCCAGCCAAGGAGCTGACCCACATAGGGCACAGCAGACCTCTCCTGTCTTGCCTGCTGTTCCCCTCAGCAGTGTATTTCAGTCTGTCTGCCTGTTCTGCTCCCCACTCTGTCTCTGATGAATCCTCTCACCCCTCCCCCACACCTCTGGCCGACACCCAGTTTTCCTATGCAAAGGAAAAGATTAACTGGAGAGAGATAATATTGATATGAAAATTTGATGGTCCTAGTATTTAAGGATATAGTATTTTTTATCTGAAGGACCAACATTTTGCTTATCCCTCTTAAATATTTTGACTTCTGTTATGAACCTGTGTCAGTGGGCTTTTACACACACACATTCTTACATCAGTCCATACAGTTATCCTCTCAAAATGGAACTTGACCCCCTTTTCAAAGGACTGGGCGACTGTCCCCTCAGGACATTAAATTACTGATGCAGCAGAAGCAGAATTCCAGAGCAAGTCTGAAGATAAAAGACCTCTTGGTTTAAAAAAAAAAATAGAGGGCCTGAGGTATTGGCATGTTTTCCCCTGGATTAATCGGTGCATAATTCTGAACTATTGTCTGGCTGCCTCGTGCTCCAGGTCCTCAGTGGCGGTAAGACACCATCTTGGGAGACTTGATGTTTAAGACTTTAAAACACTGGGCACTGTTTCCGGTGAGATAAACGGCCAATTTTGGCCTCAGAAACTCTTTGGTTTTCCCTGGTTTGTTAAATAAAACCCATTAGTGTTGTTCTCTGAACCTGAGTAGTCTTGCAATTGCATAAAGAATTCAGACAGTGACTGGTCAACTATTCAGGCAGTGTCCTTTGCCAGTTTAAAATGCCCCCTGCTGCCATGTCTCACTATAACTGGCACATCTTTCTCAGAGTTGTTTTCTTCCTCTGCCACTTCGTTTTCATACCTCCGGAGTTAGGGAGCTGTGAGGGACATCCCTGCCTCCAGTGCTGGCAATGAGGCCTGCCCGCAGCCTGCCCAGTGTGGCAGCACCCCTGGCTGAGGAGGTTGAATGTCTGTGAGAATCATTTGGAGTTCTCAGATCATAACAGTTTATTAATAGGTAAATGAGAATTTTTAAAAGTGTGGTAATTATACTACACATGCTTTATAATCTGCAAAATGTAATTATACTACACATGCTTTATAATCTGCAAAATATATATATATAATGTATACATATAACATCTATGATAAAATTTACAAAATTTATTGGTTGAGCAACATGGATGGAGCTGGGAGGGATGATGCTCAGTGAAATAAGCCAGAAGGAAAAAGAAAAATATTGGATGATTTCACTTATAGGAAATAGGGGAACTAAATAAAGGATCAGGAAAAAATATAATGATAAATTAAAAAAACAGAATTAATAGGCAACTATAAATCAGAGACATTCTGCAGGGAAGGGAGAGGGAGCGGAATCAAAACAGGTGAGGGAAGAGCACAAGGGACTGTGGTGATGATTCACGGGTGACTCATTTTATGGGGAATCCACCTGAGAAGAGAAAGCAAACTGTACAAAAATGAACAATGATGTAAAATCTATATATAAATAAATAAATTATAAAAACTATAATTGGTTGACAAAACAGTTTGGCTTTTTCTATCTTTGTCTTCATGAAAGGAACTCATCCTAATTAGTGTTCATATCTCATTAGAAGCCAGTGGGCCAAGAAAATGCTCAGATATTCACTATTGGGGCAAACTTGGGAAGATGTAAACATTATGTACTGACTTAAATAATTTTCATAATATTTATTTTTTTAAAAATTTATTTATGCATACAAGAGCTGGAGTGTAGGCCAGAGGTGCAGGGGATGAAAGGATTCACCAGAGACAGAGTGAGGAGCAGAACAGGTGGATCTGCTAAATACACTACTGAAGGGAGCAGTGGTTGACACAGGAGATGTCTCCTGGGCCATGTGGGTTCACTGCCAGGCCGGGGATCAAACTCATGCTGCAGTGGCTGGTGCCACAGGGAGGCCTCTTTCATAATATTTAGATATCGATGCATATCACTGAAAATGAAAAACTAAAAATTCTTTCATAGATTGTTCAAATAATTTTCTTGTCTTTGAAAGAAATTTTCTTTAATCTTCACCTTTACTTACTTTTACTTTTTCTCACTGATTCATCCTGCTTAGAAATCAAGCTTAAAAAGAAACAAAGTTTTAAAAATTTCAAGCTTGATACACTCTATACAGATATGTAGTTCACACCTTTTCACATATGTCCAAGAGAAAGCAGTTGGTCCTGAATTGCTTCTTACACTTAAAATTATTTGTTGATTGTTTTTCCTTTTGCAAAGATATTTTAAATGTTTCCTGCTTCTAATTTGACTCATTCCTGTTTTTCTGTAAGAATTCAGCTCATTTTTTCCTAGAAATAAGCAATTTTCCATGTAGCATAAATTATACACCAAAGGAAAAAATGTAGAATGACAAAGTGACCCAATAAACATATTTATAACACTATGAAAATGCTAGAATTCTGGAAAATCAGGGTGGTAGGTATGGTGTTAAAATCCATCACAATAAAGAGTAAGATCCCATATTTTTATGTAATGTTATTACAGTGTACACAATATCATTTTATCTTTGCTTTTTCAGATGGTGTCTATTTATTGAATATTATGGCATTAGGCATTTTCCTTTCAGAGCTATTTTCATGCTCTATCTTCATTTATAATTTGCTGTGAACTCTATGTCTTGTGATTCTCTTGTTATTATGTATTCCTTAAAAACACAATTTAATCTCGTCTCATCGAAACTCCTATTGTGTCCCAGTTGAAGAGGTCCCTTTCTGGTGCCTGTACTTCTAATGTTGCTCTCAAGATGAGTTCCAGTAAGAAGCAGTTGGGTTCTGAAGTCCTCAATCAGATTGAGATTTAAATCTCCACTGTGATGCCCTGTCTAGAGCAGTTATGCCCATTCCCATCATGAGGCATGCTATGTTTTTAATTAAAACAGTGAGCACATTTTCATGCTTAATAACATATAAATCCAAATCTTACTGCACTGGCTTGTGTACACATCTCTGCTCCCACTGTGAACTATGTAAGGGCAAACAAATAAGTTTTTCTTTTTGATTCCTTTATCTCTGTGCTTGATCACAGAGGTGGATGATAAAGGATGATAAAGCATAAGTTGTAGGACCCATCATTCATACAAAGCTATTCCAAACCCTGGGTCAAACCTCGTTAATATAATAAGAAGATCTTGTTTTTGCAACATTTTCAAAGCAAGATGTTTTTATTAGACTGCTGCTTAGTTATAGCTTAAATTATATCAGTAATTTTGTCTTGTTCTTAAGCAGGGCTTTCTAACTTTTAAATATTTGGCCAGACAAAAGCTTGCTGACTAAAGAAGCAATGACTAACTTTTGTTGAATGAACAAATGAAAGAAATGAAGGAGAGAAAGTATATTAATCATTCTATTTTAACATTTTGGCCAGTATTTTCCACAGGCACACAATAGGTAATACTAACAAATCCCCCCTGTATTAATAATGCCTATGTATTTATATAGTTCTTATATGAGCCTGTCTTTAATTGTTGATTATTTTTCCTTTTACAAAGATATTTTAAATATTTCCTGTTGCTAATATGCCCATCCCAGGCCTCATTACATTTAGTCTTGAATTAAAATGATTGATAATAAAATGTTTGTAGTTAATGTTGGCGAGGATGTGGAGAAAAAGGAACTCTCCTGCACTGTTGGTGGGAGTGCAAACTGGTTCAACCACTGTGAAGAGCTGTGTGGAGATTTCTGGACCTACTAAACATAGAGCTTTTATATGATCCAACAATTCCACTCCTAGGTATTTACCCAAATGACACAGAAACATCAATTCCAAAGAGCACCTGCACCCCTATGTTTATAGCAGCACTGTTTACAATAGCTAAGCTTTGGAAACAACCCAAATGCCCTAAAATAGATGACTGGATCAAGAAGATGTGGTACATATACACCATGGAATATTACTCAGCATTCAAAAAAGATAAACACATGCCATTTGCAGCAACATGGATGGTGCTGGAAGGGATCATGCTCAGCGAAATAAGCCAGAAAGAAAAAGAAAAATACTGGATGGTCTCATTCATAGCAGGAATCTAGAAAAACTTAAATAAGGGACCAGGAAAATGAATAACTATAAGAACTATAAGAAAGTAAAAATCAAAATCAACAAACAACTATGAACCAGAGACACTCTGTGGGGAGTGGGGTGTGGGGAAGGGGGGAATGGGGTCAAAATAAGGGGGTTGCAATTGTTTGGGGAACATAAAAATAAAATTTATTAAAATTAAAAAAAAAATAAAATGTTTGTAGTTGTGCTAGTTGTATAACATAGTATAGTATAATTACATGTGAGTGTTTTAAAAAGTTCAAAATCATAACAGCAACTGAGTTCTTCATGCTTTTATTGGGGAATACTGGGAGGCTGCTGAAGCCCTGATATCAAATCTGTAGTTGTCAGTAAAATGTGAATCACAAATGTGTTTAAATAAACAAAAGTGTCTTTTACAAACAGGAACAGAAAATAAAATAGAATGGATATTGTCATTGACCCCAAGTGATAAATATTTATCTGCACTTTCCTTCCCTCTTCTGTTTTCTGTCCTTTCCTTTTGTTTCATTTTCTTTCATTTTCTGTTCTTTTCTTTCCTTCCTTTTTTTTTGGATGTAGGTGTTTGATAGTACCCAACTGCCATAAAACTAAAGCTTTTTTGAAACATTGAATCAAACTTCTATTGAGCACAAGATGAAAATGTGGTTGCTGGTCAGTTACCTTGTGATGCTAATATCTTTTACAACCTGTCTTTCAGGTAAGAATTAGCCTTTGTGTGTTCTCTGTAAATGACATCAGTATAATTAATATGTGTGTTCAAATCATTAAACCTGATAGATGTAGGTTGAACCTGATAGATGTAGTGTTTTCTTTTGACATCTGGGTTAGGAAGGTAAATAAACACATATTAAGGTACTGTTTTCTCTTTACTTTTAATTAAAACTTTACAAGAGTTAGTCAATTTTATGTAATGATGGGCTGATAATTGTTTAAAATCTGGATCCTTTGGGAGGGGAAAAAGACCTGCTATGTAGCACTTATCAATTCTTGGGCAGCAAATATTCCTACTATGGCCAATTTCAACTGGACACACTTTATGTGGTATTGGAAAAGATATTCAATAACTATTTCACCATTAAATGGTATTTTCACGATGAAGGTATAATAGACTTAAGTAAGCTCATCAATATACATGAGAGTGATTAGAAAGTTCCGTGTTTTAATCATTTCTTACCTTTGTTCTTAATATTTTAGTTCATGTAATTTAGTGTTTATTACTGGCAAGTCAGTCTTATGAAAAACAAAACAAACATTTGCTGTTCATGGATGTTTAAAATAACAAAACAGCACTCTAGTTTTAGGAGAAATAAATACCGTATTTCTGTCTTTCAAAGAGAAGCATGGAGGAGTCACAGGAATACTTCATACAAGGAAAGGTGAATCATATTTTTATCTGAAAACAGCAAGTTTTCTAGCAATCTATTTTTCAAATACCTTTACCTCACTTGCCCCAAGTCAGTAAGTACTTGGTCCAGTTGTGGAGTTCAAGACATTGATGGATGTCACCCTTACACATGTTCCATTGGTTGCTTTAAGGTGAACCTGATGGATATTCTATTGCATTTGTTAGTTTGTATTAAGGGAATAAAGATGCTGTTTCATTTTGTGGAGTGATGTTTATTATGATTACTTAAGAATCTCATAAATATAACAACTTCACTAGTACTTAAGGATTTAAATGACATAGATATACCTACAATAAATGTATATACTCATATATATATATATAATTACAAGCATATATATATTGCATATATAATATAGAAAAGTTTTGTATTAAGTTATTGTTGCTGCCTTATTTTTATGAATAAAATAAAGCCAAAGTAATTTTATCAGTACTGAAAATTTGTACTAATTCTATTGACCACAAAATTTGATGTTAAAATTATAGAAGACAAAGACAATATCTGTATACAAAGATGTAATGATTTTTCAGCCTGAATAGTAAAGGGACAGTTATCTAATATTATTAACTAGTATTTCAGTTATATGAGTAATATTTGAAACCACAGCTTGAAAGCCTGCTTTGCTATTAATTTTTATTTTTTAATTTTCAGAGTTTTCATGGCACAGAAGATATGGCCATGGAGGTAAGTTGGGTGAAAAGGTAAATATTTAAAACTAGCCTTTCTCAAACAAATCGTATTTCACCTTTGCCTTAAGCAATGAATAATTTAAACTTAAAACATTAATTTTGGATCACATGGAAATTTTGTAAGATATTTTATCTAAGATCTTAAGGTAAGATCTTGATTGCCAAAATGAAGGAATAGATACATCACAAATACCCTATTAGAAGAGTGTAACAAATAGAAAATATTCAAAGTAGTCTGTATTTTTTTCCTGTGTGGTTTTTAGAAATCCTATACAACTATATTTTAAAGCAGTATCTTAAATTTTCTAAACACCTAACTTATTTTTGAAAGTGTCTTCTTTTGCTGGAAGAGAGAGAAATAAAATTGATGGACTAAGATCTTTGAGATTCAGTTTAAAGAGGCTAAACATGTAAATTTTATTTTTTATGGTATTTGGAATATAATTAGCAACTGTGCTAGTTTAGATTTTGCTTCAATCATCAACAGTTCTTGCCATAAGTAAAGGCAGTATGTTACTAGAAAAAAATAGAGTACAGAGTAAGATAAAACTATATTTACATATTCAACCTGGTATTTGCTACTTAAGAGATTGTGTGCAAATTATTCAATTCCCATGAGCCTGGACCTTCCAATATATAAAAATCACAGGGCTTGGGGGGGCCTAAATTGGAACATGACTATGGTTTGCAACACAGTTCCCTACATATTAGATGCTCAGTGAACATTGGCAGTTTACAAGTCACTGTATTATTGCAGGAGAATGAAAATTCAGGAAGAACCACTGAGCAACTAGTGCAGTAATTTGCATATCTAAACAAGGATATCTATGCTAGAGTGGGTCAGAAGCACTTTCTTCCACTTGCAGATTCTTAGAGTATTAAGAGAAAGGAAGGTCTTTGCCTGAATTCCTCCAATGTCATTTCTGTTTCTACCTTGTGAATTAGGAATCATTACATGTACACTATATAAAGATCATTACAATATGTTCTTTGACATCAAGAATCTTATAGTATCCTAGGGAATAAGATAAGTAGGTCACACATTTGTAAAAAATGAGTATTTTAAAAGGTTTACCTTCAGGAATTAAGGATTATTTAATGATGGGAGTAGCAGGTAAGAAAACCTTGCAATGTTTCAAATATTAGAGATAGAACAAATCCTAAGTGGAGGAATTGAAACAAACAAAAGTACAGAGATAGGGAAATAGGTTGTATGAAAGACCAGTATTTTTCCAGATATTTCAAAGAATACTTGGTCCGTCGATGTTAGTAGTTTGCATTAAAAGAAACTTCACTGTCACATGCATTGGGAAAGTCTAACTCAACAACTTCAACAGTTTATGATTAACTTATTATAATAAATATACCACATGCACTATTTTTCTAGGACTGCTGTAAGGAAGTCCCACAAACTGGGTGACTTAGAACATAGTTGTGTCGAGTACTTGAGGCTAGAAGTCGTTAACCAAGGTGTTATCAGGACCACATTACCTCAAATCTCCCAGAAGTTTTCTTCCTTGTCTCTCCCAGCTAGCATTGTCCCCAGCAATTATTGACTTGTGGCAGCATCACTACAAATGTGTACCTCCAGGGCCTCCCTTGTGGCCTTGGGGTTAAGTGTCAGCACTATAACTACTCTGGGCAGAGTTCCATCCCCAGCCAGGGAGCAGACCCACATAGGGCATGGCAGACCTTTCCCGCCTCATGCTCTGCTCCCCTCAGTAGTAGATTTCAGTAGATCCACCTGTTCTGCTCCCTATTCTGTCTCTGGGGAATCCTCTCACCCTCCACACATCTGGCCTGTACCCCGGTTCTTGTATGCATGAATAAATAAATCTAAGAAGAAATATTTAAATAAATGTCTGTCCCATCTGCACATGACATACTCCTTCTGTTAGTCTCTGTGTCCAAATTACCTGTTTATTAAGGTTATAGTCATTTTTGATTAGGACCCAGCTAATGGCCTCGTTTTAACTTGGTTGCCTCTGTAAAGATGCTATGGAAATGGGGTCTAATAAAACAGGGATTAAGACTTCACCTTGTGGGCCTCCCCTGGTGGCTCAGTAGTTGAGTGCTGGGCTGTGAAGCTGCCCGCAGCCTCTGCAGTGCCAGTTCGATAGCTGGCTGCCGGTGAGGGTCCCAAATGGCGCGCAGACCTCTCCTGCCGCACCTGCTGCTCCCCTCAGCAGTGTACTTCGTCACTCTGCCTGTTCTGTTCCCCGCTCTGGCTCTGGTGACTTCTTTCACCCTCCCGCACTTCTGACTGTACCCAGTGCTTGTATAAATAAATAAATCTTAAAAAAAAAAAAAGACTTCACCTTGTTATTTTTCTGGAGACAATTCAACCCACAGTGCTACCTTGAGAGTAAAGCATTATGACTCTAAGGAGACAAGAGTAATAAAGCACCCAGATACTCTTCAGCTCATCTGGTCACTCTGATAATAGTCACAAAGTAAAATAATACAGGCATTTATGTGGACTGGTCTTATTTGGGGGAGCAGAACAGGAGAGGAGCAGCAGGTGAGACAGCAGAGGTCTGCTGGACCATGTGGGTCAGCTCCCTGCCCAGGAGTCGAACTCAGGGCACAATGACTGGTGATAGCACTGAGACTAACCCCTGAGCCATCAGTGAAGCCCTATGTATGATTTTTTCCTTGCTTTTCTTGTTTTTTTTTTTTTTTTTGATCACATTAAGAGATGAGCTTACTTTTACTAGCTGGTGGAAAATAAATGAATTTGTGATAAAAACAAATCAAAAGAAAGAGTAATATGAAATGTTATCAATTAGCTTAAGATGTCAGCTAAAATTTTGTATTCCTTTTTAGGATACTTTTTCTGGTAAGAAGAAAGACATGTATTTTAAATTATCTTAATTTTTTTTTTTAACTTAACACCTGTCTGCTTCTTGTTTCTTTGGCTTTCAAACACCATAATACTTTCAAAGCATCATAATTTGTCATCTAGTTATTTCTATGTCTGTAGAAACAAGCAAAATATGGCTAAAGTTTTTGTTGGCTGAGCATGTGATGTAGTAATGGATCCTTTATTGTGTTGTACCTGAAAATGCATTTCCCTTGATCTGAGTACCTTAGTCAAGCTAACGGAGTGATAAGTTAAGGTGTGCTTCAAGGGGCTAGGAAGTTCACATTCAAGTTCACGTTGAACATATTGATGCAGTCTGAAAGCTTGTTTTGAGTAGTTTGTCTTTCAAGGGCTAAATGTGTTCTCAAAATAAAATGTCATTATTAGACCACTTAATGGAATACACCATTTCATTCAGGCTTGAAAACTTTAGAAAAATAAGAAACATGTATTACTAAAATAATGTCGCAAACATTAATGTGATATGAAGAGTGTCCTAGTCCACATTTTTATCAAGGAAGTGAGCAAAGAGAATGATCCTAAATGTAATGTTCTCTCAACATGAAAAAGAAATTCAATATTTTGTTGGAAATTAGCTTCCTATATTTAAACCCCAAATAAAAATTTTATTGTCTGTTTCCATAAAAAGCAGTGGAAGTAGAATATGAGGAAATATATAGTATCACAAATTTATGAAGAGTTCTTGATATTGGGAAGAAAAAAAAGCATGAGACACTAATATTATTTAATTTGAACTGAAAACTTCAATCAGTTCACCAAAAGAGTTTAATCATTACATATCCCTTTTGAGTAGATAATAGTCTCATCACTAGTAGAATATGACTTTCCATTATTTTCAATGAATTTAATATTGCTTATTTTTATTAGGAAAAAATAAACTTATTTTAATACATGTAATCAAGGTAAAGAAACAACTTAAAACATGTCCTCAATTTTCTAAAAACTGATTGATTTTATTTCAAGAGCATATACCTTAAAATCAACAGCTACAGTATCAAAAGAAATATTTAACATTATACACTAAATGTGCAAATTTACTCCTTAACCTGCATCTCCACATTGATGTGTGTCATGTCTGTCTTTCCTGTATTAGAAGACACTATAAATAATATTATATTTAAATACTGTATTTAAAGACTATTTTAAATAAGTCAATTTGGAATGAAAATTGCTGACTTTGAAGTGGTAAAAGTAGTTCTATCAAGGAAGCTAATGAAGTTATAAATGATAAGTCAGGGTTATTTATAAACTATAATGGCATTGTCAGGTGGTACAGTGGAGCCAAATGCAAAATAGGTCAAGTTTATTGATTTTTGCATTGAAAATACAATAATCTAGCGAATGCAATCTTCACCTGTTGAGGTAACTTCACATTCTGTGAAATAGTATGCAGTTACTGCTATATTCCACAATATTAACCCTTTGCACTCCAAACCATTTTACGATATTTTGATTTAATTTCTTGTGCCATTTCAAGATAAAACTTCAGGGAAACATGCATGTCTCAAAAAGTTGCGTTGAAATAACCTCAATTCCCCGTAATCACTAATAAATTGCAATCTCCCCTGAGAGGGGACATCCAAGTGATATGGTAGAATTCCGATGTCCCCTGAGAGGGGACAGCGGAGTGCAAAGGGTTAAATGAAGACTAAATTTAATTGGTTGAAATCCTCTCCATTTTGCTGCTTGTGAGATGGAAGTTGGAAAATACCTAAAGAGAAACCTTTAACCTTGCATACCTGATGATATGAAGACTGACTAACAGAACAGGAATTTTTAATTTTAATAAAGTTTATCTTTTTTTTTCTTTTAATTATCACACTTTTTGTTGTTACTGAAAACTTTTTTTGACATCCATGGTTAGAATCAGGTTATTTTTTAAAAGATTATTTTTATTTATTTATGCATACAAGAACTGGGGTGTAAGTCAAAAGTGTGGGGAGTGAGAGGATTCACAAGGCAGAGTGGGGAGGAGAACAGGTGGATGTACTGAAATATACTGCTGAGGGGAGCAGTGGGCGAGACAGGAGGGGTCTGCTTCGCCATGTGGGTCAGCTCCCTGGCTGGGGATGGAACTCATGGTGCAGTGGCTGGTGACAGCTTGATAGCGCTGAGACTTAACTGCCTGCACCACAAGGGAGGCCCCAGAATTAGGTTATTGACTAAGGACAAATAACAATCTATAGGTCATCAGTAGCCTCCCAGGTGATCATTTGAAAATTTATTTTCTTGGGGGAATCGATAATTGGAATATTATATTCTTTTTAAAAAACTGTGTTATTTGTTATTGAGGAAGCATTTGTTTACAACACTGTATGTGATTTAGAAGTATGGGTTCACACTGTTCCGAAAAATGTTACCACACCACACCCATGACCAAGGAACCCATCATCCAAAATTCTTATGTTACTATGCTGTACCAAATGGAAAATTAGTATCCAAACCAGTGCAGATCAGTGAATTAGTTTCTGTTATATACATAATTACATCAAACATCCATCTCTTTCTTTAAATCTGATGATCTTGTCCTTTGGCAATAATAATAACGTGGTCATCAGTATTGTCACATACAGGCAATACTTACAGGATAGTTATGAACTTAACTCCCTGGATAATATTTATTTTTAGTCCTCTAATCTATTTAAAATTTCTGAAAAATTTTAAAATCTCAGACTAATACCATTATTCATCAGGGGATAGAATAGGGATAGAAATCATGCCTTCAGAAAGAATATAAATAGATTGATAAAATTGTACTTTATTGAGTTGTCTTTTTAAGTGAACTGGAAGGAAACAACAGTATCTCCAGGTTCCATATTCCCTTATTTATTTATTTAAATTTTTTTGGTGTAGAAGAACTGGAGTGTAGACCAGAGGTGCAAGGGGTGAGAGGATTCACCATAAAAAGAGCAGAGCAGGTGGATTGACTGAAATCTACTGCTGAGGGGAACAGCGGATGAGACAGGTGTTGCTCCATGTGGGTCAGCTTCCTGGCCAGGAATCAAACTCAGGCTAAAGATCCCACGTTCCCTTAATAGATTTGTTATATCATCTCTCATTATTTCAGTGCTTTGATAAAAATTATATGACCATTCCAAACCTTTTCTAAAATAGGAGTAATAACAAAGTCTATCTCTTTAGATTATTTTTTTTAAGATTTATTTATTTATACAAGCACTGGGTACAGTCAGAAGTGCAGGAGGGTGAGAGAATTCACCAGAGCCAGAGCAGGGAACAGAACAGGCAGACTGACGAAATACATTGCTGAGGGGAGCAGCAAGCACGGCAGGCGAGGTCTGTGGGCCATGTGGGACCCTCGCCAGTGGCCTGGGATTGAACCAGCACTGCAGAGGCTTCGGGCAGCTTCGCAGCCCAGTGCTCAACTGCTGCGCCACTGGGGGAGGCCCTATCTCTTTAGATTATAGTGGGAATTATATTGAGACAATGAAAAGTACAGAGTAAATGCACCTGATCCATAAATAAAATCATCATAAACATTGCTTTTGCCAAATTCTCCTGAATTTGTCAATCCTTTAAAAATTATATGTCTTATATATGTATCAACTCTTAGACTAATCACATTTCTAAAAACCAAGGGTAGTTTCACTAACTCTTGCAACTCTGCTGTCATTGTGTCAGTACATATAGATGATTAATAAAATTCTTATGAGTTCCTGCCAGAATGAAGCATTATTTATCTAAACTCACCTGAAATATTTCAAAGGAAAATACCTTATTTTTAGTAGGAATTTACTATTCCAAATTTTACATACCTCGGTTATTTTTCCATAACTACTGATTTCCTCAGTTGTCCTAAAATTCATTTATTCTCTTGTTCCTAAATCATTAAACATTTATTGTGTCCACATTGCTGTACAGCTAGCTATTAGAGTAGTGGACACAGATTATGGACCTAGCCACCTGTTCTCAAGTATTTGTAATTTAGTGGAACACAAAATTTTATCAAGAATCAGAAAGTATGGGAAGTACCCTAAATTCTATAGGGAATTATGAAAATACAAAGATCAACTGAAGCTAGAGGTGCTGAGAGGTGACTTTTTGACAAAATTAGCTCTTTGGCTAAGTCATAAAGGATCTTAAAATTTTTGATAGGAGAGAGAAAAGTGAGGTCGTAATTCTGAAAAGAGGAAACGTACACAAAGTAGAGCTTATTTGAGATGCTATAAGTAGTTAAGTAACACAGAGCGTTTTTGGAGAAAGGATTCAACAGGCAGAAAACACTTCGAATAAAGAAGTTGAATGTTTTCTTTAAAATTCTGAGGCAAATGTCTCATTTTGAATGAAAATGGAGATTTTGTATTTCTTATATTTTTCAGGAAAACATTTAAAATATTTTTTAAAAATCAAATTTCTTTGACTAATAAATAATTTTATTTTGTTTTTGTAGTTTCTGAGGAAGATAAAGGATTTGGACCAATTTTTGAAGAACAACCAATCAATACCATTTATCCAGAGGAGTCACCGGAAGGGAAAGTTTCCTTAAACTGCAGGGCACGGGCAAGTCCTTTCCCAGTTTATAGGTAATGTATCTCACTGCTCCTTCCACATTGGAGTCCAGAGCTAAAGATTATAGATAAATAGCTATGACCCCTCACTGATGGTGAGAGCTATGATATAAGGCTTTCAGCAAAGTCCAGGGACATTAACAAAAATACTGGTATACAAGTTAATTTAAAAAATTGCCTAATAGCCACATAAATAATAGGTTTTCTTAAATATATCCCAAAATTCAGCCACTACTGATAGCACAGATAATGCCAGTATGCTATTAAGCATGCAAAAGATTATATGAAAATTATACCCAGTTTAATATACTCATTTCTGTATTAAGTGTTCTTGTATGCAAAGCTTGAATAACTCACACCTACAAATAATCTACAATGTATTTCTATATTAGCTATATTTCTATATTTCTATATTAGCTATATTAGCTAATTTCTGTATTAGCTACATTTAAAGAACTTCCATGAAAAATTGTAGAAAACACCACTTTTCATTAGTTTTAAATCTATATTCCAGATAACACAGAAAATTTCTTAACTGTATCTACCTAGTGAACAATCTTTATAAACTTGTTTTCCTGATTTTCTAGGATGCTTATATATATGTTATAAAAAATAAATTTATATAAAGTTACAATGAATTTTTCTGTTCCAGATAGTTAGGAAAAGATAGCTGCAGTTTCTAATGTGATGAAAAGTGTAAAAGAAAAATTAACCAAATGCCAATCGATTTGAATTTCACCTGTGAAATGGCACCATGAAGACAAAGCAAATGATTGATGGGAAAATTGGGACTTTAGTATTTTAATGTCACCTGACTTAATTGAAGGTTGTCATTTAACAATGTTGGTTTTGATAGTAGATTTTTTCCCCCTGGGTAGAAAAATAACTTTCTATTGTAAAAAATTATCAAACAGAATGCCCCTTTGCCCCATTTTATTCTACTGAGGTCATATTCTTTTGCCTCTGGCAACAGCTGCAAAATTATTCTTAAAACAAAATATGAATTGCCATACAAATGACCATTCATTTGAAATTATTTTTATTGTTTCAATTTTGTCCTTGGGTCATAAGATATTTTATGAAATGTAAAATACATATTTATTCTAAAAATATTTGATCAATTATTTCAACCTTGACCCTTTACTTCATGGTACTCTACGCACACACTCATGGCTATGGATTAGTGGAAGTAATAGGGCTGTGGAGGAGACCTTATCCATGCTCATAAGTTTATAGAAAAGGAAGCTGGGTCCTTTGTAAGTCAGTCGACTTGCTCCAAAGCTAGTGCGTCTGATGAAGGAGTGAAATACAGGTTGGATGACTTCCAGTGTGTACCTATATAGATAGGTGGATAGCATCTGAAAAGCCATTTTAGTGATGCTTATTCTGGTATACTCTGTCCCTGAAATTTACACATGGGACCTCAACAAATCAGCTCCTGGCTAGAATAGAGACAACAAAAGAGGTACCACCACTGCCACCACCACCTCCACCCTGCAGTGAGTAAAAAGCATAATTTGCATGACTAAAATTTTATGCACACTGATTAAGAGCTCTAGTTCCCCTCCTACCAGTTTCGGGCAGCCAACAACCTAATTCTTTGCTTCTACAAGTTTGACTATATAAGCGATAAATAGGTCTCCTATTCTTAAGTGTTCTTGCCAAATTTAAAAAAAAATAGGAGAATATCTTTTCTTGTTAAATACATCCCCAATTCCTTCTCACAGGCTACACACTACTGAAGTCCCCAGGGAGAGAAGGGCTGAGTAGATGTTTAATTATTTTATGAAGATTGTTTGTATTTAGCAGTAAAAAAAAATTGCACAAAAATGAACAACGATGTTTTTATATATATATATATATATATATATATATATATATATATATTAAAAAATGTAAAAGAAGAATCTTGAAGTTTTAAAAAAATGTACTTAATATCCAGGCTAAGCCAGACTAACATTGATAATCATACAATTTATCACTCACCAGTAGTTTTATACTTATGGCATGTTCTGTGCTCTTTTCTTACTCATGGCAATATTAACTAATTAGGTCTTTTGGGTAAGATTCTTATCCCAATCAGAAACATATCAGGCAGTGAGTGATGAAATTGGAGTCTGCTATTTGATGATGGTTCTTGTTTTAAGACGTTGTTGAAGATATGGACCCCTATGGATAAACCCTGATATAAAATGATTATAGAATTATACAGGTTTGCAGCTTAAATAAAAACAATTTTCTACATGCATTTTTATTGTCATATCACTAAGAATATTAGATTCCTGTTTCTAGTCAACTTATTGTTCCCCAGGTCCCATAACACTAGCTGCAATAGTGTATGTGTGGCTTAGAAATGAAAGTTCCAATTGATTTTTATCATTTTCAAGTTCATGACTGGTTCCTAGTGGTTAGAATGTGCCATTTGCTGAGCAAAGCCCTAATTTTAATTTGTTTATTTTATTGAAAGGTTATTTTGATATTTTGAGCCAGAAATTGATATTTTATGTTTCATGTCTACTGAAGTTTGCATTTTATATTTGATGCAGCATATCTGTATTTGCATAAATATAACTAGTACCTAGATGGTTATTGTTTACAATCCATGAATAGCTGCTAAGAAACCAATTTATGGAACTAAAGCCAATGAACTATTTGTCCTTTGGGATGCCTCATGCAAAGTGCAGGAGATATTTTATGTACTTGAACCTTTGCCTTTATGTCCTTGATCTAAATTATCAATTGTGGGCTGAGAGATGTGAAATTATAGGATGTGAAGGAATAACTACTCTGAGTCATCTACTTAATCATCTGACCTCATGTGGAGCTGTGCCCTTATTATTTTAGAACCATGGTAGTCCAGTGCACCGTTTGCAGATTTCCTGATAGGACATTCGTCTGTTTTTTTCACAGATGGAGAATGAATAATGGGGATGTTGATCTAACAAGTGATCGCTACAGTATGGTGGGAGGAAATCTTGTCATCAACAACCCTGACAAACAAAAGGATGCTGGAATATATTACTGTTTAGCATCAAATAGCTACGGGATGGTCAGAAGCATTGAAGCTACCCTGAGTTTTGGATGTAAGTAGTTGAAACTTGAAAAAGAGCAGTTGTTTTTATGGGGAAACAAATATTAGATGTTACCATAAAATTGCAGCAAGAAGAGAAAGACAAAAAGAAAGTGAGAGCCTCCCTGGTGGCATAGGGGTTAAGTGTCAGCACTGTCACCCTTAAGGCCTGAGTTCAGTCCCCGACCAGGGAGCTGACACACATGGTGCAGCAGACCTCTCCTGTCTTGCTTGCTGCTCCCCTCAGCAGTGGATTTCAGTTAATCCGCCTGTTCTGCTCCCTACTCTGTCTCTGGTGATTCGTCTCATCCCCTGTACCGCTGGACTGAACCCCAGTTCTTCTACACAAAAATAAAAAGAAAAAAGTGAGAAAAAAGGATCATAGATGAGGTGGATCTTGTAAGATCAGTGGGCTTTAGTTTTGTAGGAAGAAAATAATCTCTAAAGAGCACAACATCAGAAAAAGCTTCTGAAACATCTTGAATATTTTTCTAAAAACTAGCATCAATGAAAGTAGTATATCATACATTCTCAGTGGGGGTAATTATCATCCTCTTGGGGGTGAATCTTGATTCTTGGGGGGAGAAACTAGCTTAGATTACAACAGAATAGTTTGTGACGTTCCAAAACTCAACCCTACCCAACAAATTTGTAGTTCTTATTATTCAATTTCTGTTATTAGGAATAAATTAAATGAAAGGTTCATTACTTAAGTTTTCTAGGGTTTATATTAAATTAAAATTGTCTCCTTATGGGGGCAATAATGAAAAAATATTGAGAAACACTGCAAAACTGAAAGTTTGTGGTTCTTGTGAAAGTGGATTGCACATTGGGTAAGGGATTGGGTTAGATGATCTCCAGTATGGGATTTTATAAATCAGCATTTAACTCTTTGCAAATGAAAAATAAGATGAAAATGATGTTTTAGGAGGATGCATGCTGTGGTGACCAAGCAAGAATGAATGGTGTCAGGGAGAGTAGTCCGATTAATTTGTTGTGGTAACAGTTGAAATGTAAAATATAAAAATAGACCTTGAAGATAAAATTGACAGAATGCATGCACTAAAGGAAAGAAACCTTAAGTATTTTTAAGAAAAAAATCTAGTCAAAGGCAGACATATCCTGCTGTCTCTAAAAATGGATTGGAAGTCAGTAACTAATTGTTAGGGTGGGAGGAAGTATTTAAGTGGCCATTGTACATGCAGATTTATGGTGACATTATATCATCCAAGTGAAAATGTCAGTTTAGTATTTGAGGAGAGGTCTGGCATTCAAGTAAAGCATGAGGGCTGGAGACGTCAGTTTGAAGAGTTCTCTGTAGAAAGTTAGCAATTAGAATGATGACTTTTCAGAGATATTCAACATACAGAGAAAAATAAAAATTAGATGTTAAGATTTGAGTACTGATTACAGATGGGGAAAAGAACTGAGGCTGGACTGAAACAGAATAAGCATTTGTAAAACAAATGAAGAATTAAACAGAAGTGTATGGTGGGGGGCCTTCCTGTTGGTCCAGGGGTTAAGTCTCAGCATTATCACTACTACAGCCTGAGTTCAATCATCATCCAGGGAACTGACCCACATGACCCACCATACCTCTCCTGGCTTCCACGCTATTCCCCTCAGCAGTGGATTTCAGCAGATCCCCTTGTTCTGGTCCCTACTCTGTCTCTGCTGAATTCTCTTACGCAAACCCCTATACCTCTGGCCTGCACTCTAGTTCTTCTATGCATAAATAAATAAATAAATATTAAAATATTAAAAATAATAAATAGGAATGTATAAAGGAACTCAAAAAATGTAATTTCCAAAAATAAAGAAGAGAAAAAGGGAACTTAGAATTGAGGAAGAGCCAGAATGTGATAAGGGCCAAGGCACTGGTGACATCAGTTAGCATTCTGCCTTTGATCCTTTTTCCTTGTCAACATTGGATGCTCCCTCAGGAAAGGAAATAAACCTTCCAAATGAGTCTGTTGCTCTAAGTCATTCCTCTTCACTTAGCTTTGGTAGATCATTGATTTTGTCTGAGCCCATTAGGGTTTCCAGGTATCCTTTCTGAGATTTCCTAAATCTGAAACAGGAGTTGAGGCTATTTGTAATCTGCAAATAGCTGTGCAGACCGATAACCAATATCTCTCCTGCTACCAGTACCCACGGGCTTGAGTTCACCCCAGAACTCCCTAGAATGCGTTGCAAGCTCCAGTGTGTGAAGTAGGAACTAAACTTGCTTATTAGGCTTCACCAAACTGACTGAGAAGTTCTGTATCCAAGAGTGAGCCAGTGACTGAAAGGTAAGCTTTAGTGTCTTTCTGTTGACCAGAGAATGAACGTTTTCCTTCTCGCTTTCATAATTAGATCTTGATCCATTTCCGCCCGAGGAACGTCCTGAGGTCAAAGTGAAAGAAGGGAAAGGAATGGTCCTTCTCTGTGACCCTCCATACCATTTTCCAGGTAAATTTACCCTCTATGACTGCAGCATCTGTGAAATGAAATGGCCAGTTTTCCTTTTCTTGATGATAACAGTATGCTTATAGTTTAATGAGACTAATTCTTTGCTCAGCCTTATAATGCATCACTTACTAGTGTTTAAAGACATCTCTTGGCTTTTTTTGTCACTTGACCTTAATTATAAATTTCTATGATCATTTCAGTTTATAAACAATATATGTTTGATAATTTCCTTATTAAAATTCCTGTTGTACAGGAGAAAATGTGATTGATTTCCTTCAAATTAGTCCTGAAATAGAATAGTACCAAGGAGTGATAGATAATCAATCATATTATTAACAATTTAACATCTACAGTATACTGTGAGTTGTAATTAAACATTAGAAAGGGATGAAGACATAATAACTTATTAATGTCTTTGGGATCACCAATCTGTAAGAAGAATGACCCAATTTAGAAACAGAATTAAATTAAGTGTCATCTGTTATGAAACTCAGTTTCTGCATACATGTTTTCTGTAATTTGATATGACTAAAATAAAAGTCATCAACATGCTAATTAAAAGATAAACACTTCATACACCTTCATTAATTTTCACTTGTTTTATTTATCAAATGTCTTTTCAAAGTAGTACATAAATACCACTTTTCCCACTGAAAATGTTTTATATTCTTATAGTTTAATAATATGTCATGAGCCTCCCTGGTGGCCTAGGGGTTAAGTCTCACCGGTCTCACCTGTGTGGCCTGAGTTCAATCCCCGGCCATGGAACTGACCCACATAGGGCACAGTAGACCTCTCCTATCTCGCCCACTGCTCCCCTCAGCAGTGGATTTCAGTGGATCTGCCTGTCTGCTCCCCACTCTATCTCTGCTGAACCTTCTCACCCCCTGCACCTCTGGCCTACACCCCAGTTCTTCTATGAAAAAAAAAAGTCATAAAGTGACCTTCCATGGGGAGTGATTCTTTGTGCTTATTGTAGGTCATTTTGGAGAACACATTAACCTAGTATGTATTATATATATATATTTATATATACACATATATACATATATATGTATGTATATATATACACAACCACACACAGCTATATATTCTATTTATTATATATATGAATTCTGGTTCTCTATATAACAAATGTTTATAATTTTCTCTCTAATGATAGGAGAAATACTATTAATTGATAAATATAAGATGAACATATGAATTCAAAATTTCGTTACAGCCTTTCAATGAGAATAGTAATTTCCATGAGAACTGCCAAAACAATCTACAAAATCTCCTTATCTTCATAGCATTTCCCACAGAGTAAATGGTCATAGATAGTGAATGGCTGTATTTGACCACATTGAACACTGAATAATCCTTATTCCATCATATATTCACTGAGAAAAACTTAGGAGCACTTGCTCTGTACCAGAAATGGTTTTTGCCAAAGAAATACCTCAGTGAGCAAATAGGAAAATTTACCTAACATTGATATCTAAAAGATACAGCATGCTAGATATTGCTAGATTAAAACTAGGAAGGATAAAAATTTCCTAAACAACTTGATTCTCAAAAAAAAAATGTTTTATTTTCAGTTCATTTTCTATCAGTACAACAAACAGAAATTGAGTTACCACATTTCACAAAATATGAATCATACATATGTACATTGTGAGAGAGAATAAAGAAAAAGTCTGTCATTCAAAAGGGGTATCCTACTGACAAAAATACAGAATACCTAATAATAAACTTGTGCATGAATTTTAAAATTAGCAAGTGGGAATACTTTTAAGAAAACTGCTAGTATGTTGTATATGACCTTGAATGAATCTCAGTAGAGAGATCATCACAAAAATAGACTCAAATGGAAGGGCATGGCAGGAAATACATGATTCCATGGTATAACTTGGTGTATATTTCTTTCTAAATAGCATTCGTTAATAGCTTACTGTTGGTATCAAAGCACTAACCAGAAGCTATCGTGATTTTGTTAGTGTAGGGAAATTATGTTCTTTTGGGATTAGTTAAAAAAGAAAGCACACAAATCTATTCATCCGGGGAATAATAAAGTATTTCAAGAGAAATATACATTATTTAGCAATGTTAGATGGGTGATATATTTCAAAGTAATACAATGAAACTCACCAAATGCATTGCAGTTCACCAAAACAAAATTCCCCTGCCACATGCTCCAGACTCTCTTGAGGCAAAGGAAAGAAATATCAGACATTTATCAATAAAAATGTTTCTGAAACAGGTGCTGGCATTTATTTTTCTTAAAATAGTAATTCATAGTAATTTATTATTTAAGACACTCAACAAGGCTATGAAGAAAGTGTTGGCTTTTTCACAATTGGTGCCATATGCACAGGGCAGGGAAGACAGATTGGGTTCCTGTGAGACTGGGTTGGGGAATCAGGGCAACTGGTAAACCAATTATGGTGTAGTTTTGGAAGTAGTGAGGTGGAGAAGGAAGTTAGGAAGTCATTTCTGCTGTAGGAGCTTGGGCAACTCAACTAACCTAGCTGAATTTTCATATCCTTGTTTAAAGAATAGCAATAGCAATTCTCACCTTTGTTTCAGTGGGAGATGATGGCTTCTAACATATTGCAATTATTTTGTCTAAGTGAATGACTTACCAGTAGGCTAGAATTTGTTAAATTTAGATTTATGTTACGGGTACCACATGGGGAAGACCAAATATATCGTAAACAATCTATCTAAACAGTGGCACATAGAAAGTACTCTTTATGTGTTAAATTAGTATATGGAAGAATCAACACTGAACATTAAATCCGCCAGAACAATTGCCCTATAGTTCAAGACTCATGTTCATACAAACATCATCACAATGACTTCTTTGACCTAGTTTTTCTCTCTTAAAGTTTCAGATATTAAATATCTTGTTCCTTTTCACATATCCCTGATGAGTGGGTGCAGGGAAATGTCTTAATTTTAGAGAATATGAGTAATAGAATGATTAAAATAACCTGGTTAAAATCATCTTTGGTCTAGAATTAAAATGCAGGTTTCCATATTCATGTAACTAAGGAGAATCCAGACTATTCTGAATGCATTTTGTTGTATATGGTATTTTGAAAGCATCCTATAGTTAAATAAATTGCATTTTTTCTCTGAGAAAATCTATACTTTCCTGACTTATTTATTTTTTAGAATTTAACTATGATCATATTTTTTTGCAAAAATACTGGTTTTCTTTTGAAGTGACAATAGGATTTTTTTTTCTAGTTCAAATAAGCTAACAGCCTTTTTAAAATGTGCTATAAATATCATTTCAGATCAAAGATTATTTCTTGTGCAATTCGAAGAATCAAATTTCAACAATTTAAGAAGCCCATTACAATCCTTCCCACCTTGATTCTTCTGCAGATTTTACCTGCTCTTAACTAAGCATAAGGATAACAATTAAAATAATAGAATCATTCAAACACATACATATCTAAAAAGATATATGCTAATGATGATAACTGAATTGGAGGATGATGGTGTTTTAATTTTCTTTCTCCTTTCAACTTGATCTGTATTTTCTATTTTTGACAATTAAAATATACTGTCTTCTATAATTAAAAAGTAAAGATTAAAAAAGAAAATAATTTTTACTCACTTTCCTGGTCGTGCATATTGTTGGAGAAAATTACATAGCTAATCTAAATGGAATATCCTGGATTATTATTTCCAATCATGTTGGATTTATACAGTGTGCAGTTCTTTTAATTTTTCAGAGTTGGCTTTCTTTCTTACCCCCTTGTTACAGTATTAACCAGTTACATTGAGTTTCCTAAAGCATGTCAACCCCAAATCATTTCACCTTAAAAAGATCTTGACCTTCCACCATCTCACCTCTAAATTCTAACTTAACCTAATAGTTCCTTCTTGTGATTTTCCTACTTGCGATTGTCCTCCCCTGGCTGAGGTTTTAAAGGGGAACAGCCTTTTGTGATTGAGAAGTATGCACTGCCCTGTGTTTCTCTTGTGTGTTGCTATTGTATGTAATTTCTAGGGAGCTATTCTCTAAGGTGGGAGGGGAGATAGAAAAGGAAAACTGTATGAAAGGCAGAAAATTAATGAGGAAATGCAACGATTGGCCTAAGTAGCCAGTATGTTCAGCCAAAGGAAGTTCCTGTGGTTGAGTTGCCGTGTGCTATGTACTTCCTATTACTCAAGAAAGTCAGTAATGTGACTTTCTCTGTTTCTGTGGTCTCCACTTTCCAATGTGGCAGAACAGGTTATGCAAACTCATTTACAAATCTATAATTTAAAATGCAAATACTAAAAGAAAAGGATATAAATCCACAGTATGACTGGTAATTGATTTTTTTTTAAATAAAATCAAATAGGGAAGTAGTAGGGAAAATGGATTTAGACCTGGACTCAGAACCCCAATTCTACTTAAGAGTTAAAGGATCTAAGCAAGATCCCTGATTTCTATTTAGCCCATTCAAAAAAAAGTAAAAGTAAGAATATCAGTAGACCATAAAATAATTAATTTAGAGATAAAGATAGGTGTACTTAACACCATACTTATATTCACTCAAAATATGGTAACTTTTAGAAAACTTGCCTACATCCAACATGTTCTTTGCCTATTTATAACACGTTCTCATTAACAGTCTCGTTTTGATTTGTCACTGTAAAAGAAAATCTTTGCTTTTGGAGAAGATCTTAATATTTAGTAGATATTATTTTCTCCTAGATGATCTTAGCTACCGCTGGCTTCTAAATGAATTTCCTATATTTATCACAATGGATAAACGCAGATTTGTGTCTCAGACGAATGGCAATCTCTACATAGCAAATGTGGAGGCATCAGACAAAGGCAATTATTCATGCTTTGTGTCCAGCCCTTCTATTACAAAGAGTGTGTTCAGCAAATTTATCCCACTCATTCCACTACCAGAACGTAAGTATTTGTTACACTTGGTTTTTGCCAGTTTGTCTGCTTGTGGCATACTTCTAATAATGAAAAAATATATAAACAACCATTGTGAAGATTAGCTACCTGCTCAGTCTTGGCAAAGAGAGAATACACACTTTGAAAGTTTAGACCCTTCCTTAACTTTTTTCAGTAGAGAAGATTTGCGTCATTAAGGTACCCATAGATAGTTGAATCTGGACTGGCAGACTCTAGTTCAGAGTACAGTGTACTGGTTCTTTAGCTAAACAACAGTATTTTGGTTCCAGTGGAATCCTTAGCCTCTGCTTTTTGTTTGCTGGGCACTCCTATTTCTTAGTTCACCAAAGGGATCATCTGATTAGGTCAAAACCAACTACAGTGATTACAGAATTACTGAAAAAAAGACTGTTGGTTATTTTGGTATTTTAAGGAACTATTTACATTATGCAAATATAGGTAGGTAGGTAGGTAGGTAGACAGATAGATCATCTATTGTAAATAATTAGTGGAGAGTATTATTACCTTGGAGCCATATTTCATGGCTCCTGACATATTTGATTGGTCTTTTCGTAGTAGTCATGGAACTACCTTTCTTTTTTAGATGTGCTATTCCCTGAGAGAATCAGATCATCATATATTTTAGCACTTCACATTATTTTTGCCAGTCTTGCTGCTACACTCATATCACTTGCAGTTCAAGTCTCTGAGGAAATACTGGTTTTCCTGCTGATAGATTTAAGTTTGGTTCCTGTCACTATGTAGTCCCTAAGGAGTTAAGACAGTTGGGAAATGCCATCCTATTACTATGGACCCATTTTTTTTACTCTCCTCACGATAGGGGTCACCTGGCTGGTGTTTAATACATTTTGACTTTATGGCTCTTTTTTTCCCTTCCCAAACTTAGGAAATACTTCCACCCATTACTTCACAGATTTGAGGACCTATTTTATAAAAATATCCTTAATTATTTTCTACTACTCCCTAGACATTCAGTTATTTTATTTGTCTTTTATTTTCTCTTTTGTTGGAATGAGTGTTTCTCTTCCTGTTCTAGCTAATTCCTCTCAGTTGCTCTAGTTTACATCCCATTTGATTCATATTGAATGTTCACCTCACCTCTTACTTCCTCTCTCTTCTAATTTTTCATCCTCTGCCCTCAATTCTTTTCCCTCTGCATATTCTTTTATATTCAATGCAAACAATTTTGAATGATCAAAATGACTTACTCACTAAATTGAAAGGACACTTTGAGTCTTGATTCTATATGAACCTTCTGCATGACATTATACATCTCTTGACTCCTTTCACTGACTCAATTTTTCATCTCCTTCCCACTTCTCTGATAAATTCTATGTGGTGTCCTTCACTATATCTTCATTGTTAAGTTTCTGATCTTTCCAGATATTCTCCACCGTTTATACCTTTTCAACTATAATCCTATCAGGATGACTCCAAATTCACATTTCCAGAACTTTGCTGGTAGTTAGGCTGCCCCCTGGACTTTTCACCCAGAAGGTTCTCAAGGATGTTAAGATCAAAACATTCCATACATTCCTGCTATCTTCCCTCTGAACCTCACCTTTTAGTGTTCATCTCATTTAGCAATACTGTCATTTTTCTATGAACTTAGGATAGAATTTTAGTCAACTTGTCTCTTCCATCATCAGGGCAGTGAATCCAAGGGTTCTCAACTAGTATGTAAGCATACTGAAAGTTTGATAAAATGTCCAAACCTAAGACATGATCACCAGGCTTGGGGTATGACCTGGGAATCTGAACCAGCTTCACAGAGGATTCTAGTGAATTGGATTTTAATCTATAATTTGAGAAAATACCAATCCACGGGGCATGTTCATGGTTCTCCTAAAATACAACTTATATTAATTCTTTCCTTTCTGGTTTTACTGTGACTATGTCCTGGCTCAGACCCTTGCCTGTTTTGCCTGTATGAATGAAACAGCTTCCTTTAGATTTCTTACTCTCTTCTATATTTCTCTTCTCCATGCTCCATCCCTTAAAATTACCAACAAGGTCTTCTACTTAAATTGAAGATAAGGGCCACCCTGATGGTACAGGGCTTAAAGTCTCAATGCTATCAAGCTATTGCCAGACACTGTAGCTTGAGTTCAATCCCTGGCCAGGGAGCTGACCAACATGGCACAGCAGACCTCTCCTATCAGACCTCTCAGGCCTGCTGCTGCCCTCAACAGTGGATTTCAGTAGATCCTCCTGTTCTGTTCCCCACTCTGCCTCTGGTGGATATTCTCACCCCTCCACCTCTGGCCTACATCCCAATTCTTGTATGCATAAATCAATAAATAAAATAAATCTTTAAAAAATAACAAATAAATAAAAGAGAAGAGTAATATGACTTCTCTTGCCCCGACCCATTGCTAATTGGCTATCAAGGAAATTGGTCTCAAAATATTTAATTTTACAGCTTCATGTAAACCTTCCAGATTGTAGGTTCAAGCTCAGATCCAATTACATCTACTTCAATGTAATTTGAATTCCTAGGCCTTTGTAAATCCCAACATACTCCTTAGGCATTATCATGTTATTCTCTCTGTCTGAACCAGACCAGTTCAAATGCTAGCCTTGCTGAAATTTTCCTAGGCCCTTCATACTGTTCTCCTTGGCTGTCACTCTTTCAGACATTTTATTTTTCTTTTGACTTCATTTCAGTACACTGTCTATCAATTTGTCTTTAGCATTATATATTGCTAAAGTACAAAAATTCATGGTGTGATCCCAAAGAATACATTGGCAACAGTGAACCTATTTCTTATCCTGTATGATTAAGAAACTGATACATCTTTCAGAGCTGATATCAGTTCAATTAATTGTCTACATTGATAAGAACAGTGATGTCTTGATAAGCATTTTTCTTCATTTCTCTTCCCTTCCTCTTTTCAACATTCTTTCTTTTTGCTTTCATCTCCTAGATACTTCTTTCTTCTTTTTGCTTATGTCCTCTTTCTTTTTCATCCTCTTTTCCCTTTTCCTTATACCTCATTTCCTTTCTTCTCTTCCAGCCTGAGTGACCCTTCATAAATACGCAGCGCAAATATTTTACACATATTAGATCCTCCTTAAAAACTTATTGAAGTTTTTAGTCAATTACCATGTAGTTACACAACTATCAAAAAGAACAAAATAAGCCAGAAAGAAAAAGAAAAATACTGGACAGTCTCACTCATAGCAGGACTTTAGAAAACCTAAAAAAGGGACCAGGAAAAAGACTGATTAAATACAAAGTAAAAATCAAAATCAACAAGCAACTATAAACCAGAGACAAACTATGGGGGGGGGGGGATGGGTGGGGAGAGGAAGGACTAATGTTAAAATAAGGGAGGTGTACAATTGTATGGGGAATATAACCAAAATGAAAATGCATACATTGTGCAAAAATGAAAAATGATGTAAGAATTATATAAAATAAAATATTAAAAAAAAGAAATAGTTTTAATCTTACAGAAATCACAATGTTAAAAAAGCCTCTTTTCTGCTTAATAATTTGTGTGTTTGTGTTTCTCTTAATATTAGGAACAACAAAGCCATATCCTGCTGATATAGTAGTTCAGTTCAAGGACATATATGCACTGATGGGCCAAAATGTGACTTTAGAGTGTTTTGCCCTTGGCAAGTAAGTATACTGACATTTTTCATTAACATAATAGAAGTGCATTAATTTTTGTACAATTTTAGGAAATAAGTGATGTGAATGTGTAACTACCAATAGAAGCATAAAGTGATTGCTTTGTAAGCATTGTAGACCCTTAACTCTTATTATCTCCTATTTAAAGTCCAGTTCCTGATATCCGGTGGCGGAAAGTTCTAGAACCAATGCCAAGCACTGCTGAGCTTAGCACCTCTGGGGCTGTCCTCAAGATCTTCAATATTCAGTTAGAAGATGAAGGGGTATATGAATGTGAGGCTGAGAACATTAGAGGAAAGGACAAACACCAAGCAAGAATTTATGTTCAAGGTGGGTATTTTAGTTTAATATAAATTTCATGAATATCTTATTTATAGACATTCCCATACTTAAAAAATTAGGATATAAAGATTAACAGTTGAAAAACGGTGATGTATAGAATGTTATACAAAAGGATGAAATATTTGTGTTATATTTAATTAAGTCATAAATATTAATTATAGAAGTTATGCACTTGTTAGTATCATAGTAATACCAATATATTGACAAAGATGTTCCTGATAATTTTCAGAACATACAATTGATACAGTTTATTTACTACCTTTATCTTCCTCTTTTTTGAATAGCTATCATTTGTAGAAGAACCTATGCATTCTGACTTAATTTATGCCTTTAATATGCAAGCACCAGAATTACCTGGAAAGCTTATTAAAATGTAGATTGCTGGTTCTGGGTCCTCAGAGTTTCAGATTTAGAAGGTCTGTTTAGAAGTTCCTAGGAAATGCAATTATACAAATTAGTTTAGGAGTCACACTTTTAGGAAGTTTGGTTTAAGGGAACATTTTTTTTAACACTTCTTTTTTTTTTTTAATTAAAGATTTTTTTCTTTGGGATAGAAGAACTAGGGTGTAGGCCAGAGGTACAGGGGGTGAGAAGATTCAGCAGAGACATAGTGGGGAGCAGAACAGGCAGATTTACTGAAATACACTGTTGAGGGGAGCAGTGGATGAGACAGGAGAGGTCTGCTGCTCCATGTGGGTCAGCTCCCTGGCTGGGGAATGAACTCAGGCAACAGTGGTGATAGTGCTGAGACTTAACCCCTAGGCCACCAGGGAGGCCCTCTTTGACACAATTTTTATGGCACAAGTGTTTTGTTATCACACATCAAAATAAACTTATATTTGGGAGGATCAAATGTTGTCTTTGAAGAAACACTTGAACATTTTCAGGCTGAAATGATCATTTTAATACTCCACAGTTGGAAACTTGTCTGTCCCATTGAAGATACACCTGAGTCTTTGACAAGATCATTGAGTGGATAGTCATGTATTGGGTATTTGCTCAGTGGTAGACACCATGCTAGGAGCAAGGATAGGTAAAGGAAGTACTTTCTCTGACCTTGAGGTACATACTGTATTCATATCATATGTAAGACCCCCAGGAAACTGTATCCCAGGTTCTTAAAAGAGTGAATTCTGTACTAATTTCTAATTCTTTAAAGGAATCAAGGTGACAGCTGATATTTATAGGTGTTAATTTAAGGGAACTTTTTCTCTTTTCTAATGAGGCACTCCAAGTTTTATCTTTTGATCTAATCAAACAAGCAGAAAGCTACATAATTAAACCATATACAGAATATATCAAGCTGATTCAATAATTTATTCAATTATATCTTCTCATTATATTTTCGAAAGTGGCATCTCTGTGTGATCTGTGTGAAGTTATGGCAGGAAAGCAGTGATACTCCTGTGTTGTGTGTTGACTTGATTGTATAAAAAATAAAACTTCTATCAATTAATAGTTATTCAGCTTTTAAAATTGTCTTCCTATGTTACAGAGAAAATGCAATAACTGAAAAATATACTGAAGCAGGCTGTATGTATTATAAAAATATTTATCACTCTATTATGTATATAACATAATGTTGATAAAGTTCAGTGAGATTATACAAATGTTTTATGTTCTATTTATTTATACACATTGAATATTCTCTAACAAGATATATAAATTACTTTTGCCATAGTGAATATAATAAAAGTTTTCATTTTCAAAGAAAATTAAATGAAATACTACCTTCCACTCAAGATTTTCTTCTTCTACTTATTTTGTTACATATTTATTTATCTACAACTATTTGGACTTACTCAAACAATTTAAATATTCATGAAGATGATCTGATTATTAATTTGCATCTTATTGAAGAATATTTTTTTCTTTTAGGGAATTCCTAGCATTTTCTCCTCTCTTAGCAAGTTCTACTAGATTAGATCAACTGATGAGGTTGAAATCAATTTAATTGACTCATAGATTTTTATCAATGATAGCTACTATGTAATTTCCAGTAGTGAATGGATATTTAAGTTATCAAGTCCTTTTTCTAGTTCTGCAATAAGATATTACAGTGGCCACTAGCCAAGAGATCCATTAAGAGGCAACATATACCCGAGGGAGTGGAAGAGATTACAACTTTATCCAAACAGAGAAAAGAGAGTATCATAGTAAATGGAGATAATTCTTTAGAACTTTAGTGGTCATTTTGAAAGACTTAGAAAAATGACAAATAATTGTAGTGCTGTTCATGAATTTACCTCCCAAAAAATGGTCCACCAATAGAAAAAAAAAAGATTTGAATTATAGTTACCACATGCTGTTATAATGCAGGATAAAATTTACCTATAGAAATGCAATCCAGTGGCTCTAATCTTGGTTTTCGGACATAAAAAATATCTGGTATACTCTTCAGGACCCCAACTACAGGTAATGTTTGTACCCTTGAAATTGTGACTTGTGTTGGAACTTGCATTTTACATATACAATGTTCTTTCTTGTTTAGCGTATCCAGAGTGGGTAGAACACATCAATGACACTGAAGTGGATATAGGGAGTGACCTCTACTGGCCTTGTGTGGCCACAGGGAAGCCCATCCCCAGCATCCGATGGCTGAAAAATGGATATGCGGTATGTGTCATTCAAGTGCTTTATACAATAATTCTGGAGTCCATAATCAGGCAACATCCCCAGGTGGTCCTGGGATAAATTTAGAAAGAGTGGGAATAGAGTAAGGACACCTAGAACCCTGAAACACCATGTCTACTAAATACAGCAAACGAGAATGAACATAAAGTTGCTTCTTTCAGCCTAAACAACTTACTGTAATCTGATGTCTCCGTTCTCTCTCACGCTTCCTCCTTATTTTTTTCCTTTTTTCCACTTTTTTTAAAAAAAGATTTATCTATTTATGCATACAAGAACTGGAGTACAGGCCAGAGGTGTGTGGGTGAGAGGATCCACCAGAGAAAGAGTGGGGAACAGAACAGGCAGACTGATGGAAAAACACTGCTGAGGGGAACAGTAGGTGAGGCAGGAGAGGTCTGCCACACCATGTGGGTTCTTCCCTGGCCGGACGGGGATCAAACTCACGCTGCGGTGGCAGCGGATAGCTTCAGATTGTGTACCAACCCCTTGCGCCAGCAGGGAGGCACCCTTTTTCCACATTTTACCCTCTTCCTGCTCATCCAACTCCACTACGTGATACTGTCCTCTTTTTCTTGCCACTCTTCTCCTGAACCCACAGAAATAGAGGTAAGAGCCAGGCTCCTATCTTTGGCCCTAGGGACAAGTAGCAATAGTGGGGCTTCTCACTGTAATCTCCTAGCTGGGCAGGAGGGAGAAGGTGAACTCTCAGCTCTGTGGGATGTATCAGACAAGAGTAAGTGGTGCCACTCCCCCTGCCATGAACACCCCAACTCCACTCGACTTAGGAGTTAACAGTGGTGGCACAAATAATGTAAATAAAAGACAACCAAGCCTACACTGAAATGGAGGCATTTCTACTCAAGTTTTTTAAGGGAATGTGTCTTATTTGGTGTTCTTTTCAGTATCATAAAGGAGAATTGAGACTATATGATGTGACTTTTGACAATGCTGGAATGTACCAGTGCATAGCTGAAAACACTCATGGAGCCATTTATGCCAACGCGGAGCTGAAGATCTTAGGTCAGTATCATTTCTAGTTTCTGTTAACAGTCAACAAAGAAGGCAAATAGAGTCATTATAGATCATGTTTGTGTTGACATTATTTTCTTGATTTGTTAAAGTTAAAACTTTTAAAACATCATTTGAAATACATTATTGTTCTTCCTCTCATTAAAGAACAGTAAATAAATGTGAGGTAGTAGGTAGTACAATAGCTAAAATTGAAAAAAACAACAATAAGCTAAGCTCACACATTGCAGTTATTTTAAGTCTTGTCCTTTCTTGTGTCTGGGCTGCTGAACACGGCTTGAAAATCCAATAATGCTGGCTGACTCCCCCACGATGTGTGAGATCCAGTCTCAGAGGAGTCTGTAAGCAGCTGCTTTTTCATTGCCGGGTTTCATCCCCTACCATTGCTATTCAGAAAACCTTCTGGACATGCCTCAAGCTCCTTATTCCACTGTAACTTCTACGTTCATATTGCTTTTGTCCTTCTCCATGAAAATTGAAACTTACTAAAAGAAACAATTTCAACTTTCCATCTCTCAGATGGTAGCTTCGCCCCTTTGGCTCCTCAGCCAAGCACATCCACCAAATGTCTGAACCTGCGTCTCTCAAACTTCTAATACTGCTTCATCCTTGACCTCTCCTTCCCTGCCTTTGGTGACTCAGTGCTCTCCATAGCTTCCCGACGATGTCTTCTCAGCTGCCTTCCTCCAGTGTCATCTTCTCCCCTTCCTCAGATCAGCTAGCAATGCTGGGAGATATCCACTCCTCAAATTACTTTCCATTTTCTACCTCATTCTTCCATGTATTTCTATATTATTATTGCCTGGATATTATTTTTAAATTAAAAAAAAACTGAATTTTTTTTTCCTATTCCATTAACTATTAATCATCCTGCCATTTCGGTCTCTGGCTCAGATTTTTATCCTCAGCTTCAAACTCAGTATAAAAACTTTCTATTCAGTAGTAGAAACATTCCTCTGGTAACCTCACAACCCCAAATGTAGCATGTTTGAAATGACTTCCCTCTCTCTCATTAATATCTTACACCAAAATATCCTCTGTTCTAAAGAAAGAAATCCTCCCACATTACGTCTACTAAATTTCTCAAATTTTATCTCATAAAAATCTATTTTCATTTTCTTATTTTCATTATACCTACTTTAATTATAGTCTTGCTCTTTTTTGTCATTTTTATGTTATTTGAACTGTCACCAGGATTTGGCATATTACAAGTAATGAATCCAGGTAGTCAGACTTTCTCTTCTAGAAATGATTACTAGAATGATAAAGCAAAGATTCAGGGTAGGCTATTTCATTATTGTTGCACCAAAGGGAAGTTTCTTTAGAACATTGTTATCACAATTGAGTGACATTAAAAGCACATATAAAGAAATGAGATCATTGTAGAAAAGTATTAAAGAAGATCTTTAAAAAGAGCTGAAGCCTTCTTATTCTTCTTATTTTTTAATTTCCCTTGTCCCATTGTTATGCCAAGGATCATATTCTATTTCTTTCTCCCTGAAGTCAGAATTCCTTGCAAATATATTTAATCTAGTTTATTTGGGCATCAAGAAAGCATTCATGCTTAGACTTCATAAATTTCTTGTTTACTAAAATACATTAGAAAGTAATGTGAAAATTCAGCAGCTTAGACTGAAGAATCTTTCTATATGCCCATCTAAATTCATTCAAATATTCGATGACTGCTAATGTAGTCATTACACAAATCATTTAAGTGGTTTTAGGCTCTGAATGATGTTCCTGAACATCTTTATATTTGTTTCAACCTATTTTTGTTCGTTAACTTTTTGAACAGTGCTGTCTTTTCCTGACTTATTTGATTTACTCATTCATCCACCAATTTTTTGAGTACTTATTTTACAACAAATACTAATTTTTAAATAGGAGCAGTGCAGAGCAACCAAGTCAAAAAATGCATGCCTCTTCTTAGTTGAGGTAATTGTCTCCATAATTACTTCCTGTTTCCAGAAAGTCTGAGGGCATGGTCTAGAATCTATCACTAGATATTCAAATAATCTCTAATTATGAAGACATTTAAATCACACAATTTTTTTTTCATTTAAACTTAACTGATTCAAGAAAAATTCTCCTTTTCTAGATGAATTAAGATTTAAAAATATAATCCTATTGAACTGTCTCAGCTTTCTTACAGTGTCACCTCGATATACTTACGGAACTCATATAAAATATCATCCTTTTTATTAGGAATAAAGCATAAGTTATTTGATTGTTTATTGCCAATTATCAAAATTTCAACTGAAGAAACAATGGGATAAACTAGAACCTTCTGTATAAAGTGTTTCTCAGAGCAGTAGCAGCAATAGCAATACCTGCTTGTTAGACATGTCAAATATAAGACCCACCCCAGACCTACTGAATCAATATTTTAATAAGACCCTCAGTTGAATTTGATGCACAGACAAAGCATGAGACTCATTGCACTAGATGATAGTGTCAAACACTAGGTGAAGACATACTTAATGTAGGCTGCAGAAAGGACACAGTTACAGATAACTGGAAAGTGCAGAAAGAGTAGGTGGACTCCCTCTGGAGTCTGATAATTGACAGAAGATTGAGAACCACCATACATGTCATCAATGGAGGAAACTTTTGTAAGACTCTATGTCCTGCTTTCATAATTATTGTTCGGTACTTTGAGGTAAGGATGAACTCCAAGTGGTTCAGGTGGTCCTCAATTAATTGAATGCATCCATCATCCCATGGCTGTTGGTAGGTAGGTTTTGAAGAAAAGATCTCTCTTTATTTTTTCAAGATGTCTGCACACAGTTGGCCTTCAGTGAATGTTTGTGTAATGAAAGATGTCCTATTATGTAATAAAAAAAGCATGCTGGTGAATCAGAAGAAACTAGATTCAAATGTGAATCCCACCTGATTCTTCCTGGGACAGCTTTGGCAAATTATGTAATCTTAATAGGCATTGAGTCTCTCATTGGAAAAATGTAAGCAGTTTAAAGTGTGGTTGAAAATACTGCTGATGACCATGTCAATGTTAATATTAGTGCTCAATCCCTCTAGCCTTTCATTTCCATTGTGCAATTGAGTCAAAACAATTTAGTTGGATGTCACTTTCAAGGTAAATATTTATACTGAATTTGGTTGTAACTAAAGTCTGTAATAATTAATACAGTTATCATCAAGAAATGAACATTTAAACTGGAGTGATTTTTATAAGTAAAACATTTCAATAAAATTAAATAAAAGAATGAAGGTGATAGGTGTGGAATATCTTTTGATCATAGCTAATAATATTTAGTGAGATTAATCTTTCCCATTGATTATTAATCAAATGAGAATAAAGCATTCTATAGTACAGAAGAAATTTTTTTGTAGCAAAAGAGAAAAAATAATCATTTTTTCCTTTTAGCTTTGGCTCCGACTTTTGAAATGAATCCTATGAAGAAAAAGATCCTGGCTGCCAAAGGAGGAAGGGTAATAATTGAATGCAAACCCAAAGCTGCACCTAAACCCAAATTTTCATGGAGTAAAGGGACAGAATGGCTTGTCAATAGCAGCAGGTCAGTTCAGAAATTAGAAATCCAATTAAAATTCTATTTTTCAGTAGTTTATTTTGTAGAGGACTTGCTTTCATATTGATAATGTAAATGTTTTTTATGACTTTGCTCCACAGAAGAATCTGTAGTTCTAAGATGAACAGAAATACTTGCCCTTCACTGTCAGCATCTGTTATAATCAGGATTCAGATTCAGGCTCATGTAATTTATAAGTAATTTAGAAAATTGAAGCTCAGAGATTTTTGGTAAATTGCCCAAGGCCACAAAAAAATAAACAATGGAAAATAAAATGAAATCTCTCTGATTTATTTTTCCCTAATGAGGACATTCACTTTTGGTTTAATTTTATGGATTTGGCCTATTATATATTCCAATATGAAATGAGTCCTCAATGGGATAAATGAAGAGGTGATTTAAAAGTACAAATCATCTCTTCCCATCTTCTTAAGTTAACATAAAATTCTCATCTTCCTCGCAAGTAGACCAGTCTTTTATGACTGGTACAAAGCAAAAACATGCTATTTGCATAGGTTATTTGTATAAAAAGCACACTGTATAGTTTGTACAAGTTTTCTATAAAAAGTAATATTTTGGCCTCCCTAGTGGCCTAGGGGTTAAGCTTCAGCACTGTCACCTCTACAGCCTGAGTTCAATTCCTGGCCAGGGGGCACAGCCGACCTCTCCGGTCTCACCTGCTACTCCCCTCAGCAGTGGATTTCAGTAGATTTGACTGTTCTGCTCCCCACTCTGTCTCTGGTGACTCCTCTCACCCCCCGCTCCTCTGGTTTACACCCCAGTTCTTCCATGCAAAATTAAAGAAAAATAAATTAAAAAAATGAAAAATAAGAAGTAATAGTTTGAGCATAAAAGTGTGAGGAGAAAAAAGCTAACATGGCAAATAGGAGCAGTGTGACAGAAGGTTGGGGAGTAGAGGCTATTTCAGGCAGTGATAGCAGCACATGCAGAGGTCCTAAGTGGGAGAGTCTGGGTGTTAAGGAACTGCATGAGGAGTCTCAACATGGCTTCTCTTAAACAAAAATGGAGAGAGTTTTCAGAGATGAGACCTAGTAATTCACATTGTCAATAATAGCATTTTCTATGCAAAGTAATAGGAAATTACCTTGATGCTTAAATAAGGGAGGAATAAGATAATTTTAATTTTTGAACGTATTCTGTAAAAAGTGAAGAAAATAAGATTTTTTTTTAAATTAAAAATTATTTCAGGGGCCTCCCTAGTTGCCTAGGGGTTAAGTCTCAGTGCTATCATGGCTATGGCCTGAGTTTGATCTCTGGCCAGGGAGTTGACTCACATAGGGTGCAGCAGACCTCTTCTGTCTTGTCTGCTGCTCCCTCAGCAGTGGATTCAGTAGATCCGCCTGTTCTTCTCCCCACTCTATCTCTGGTGAATTCTCTCACCACCCTCCCACCCCCCACATCTCTGGTCTAGACCCTAGTTCTTCAATGCATAAATATTAAAAAAAATTGTGCTCTGATTCTAATGAAGACCAAAATCATGAACTTCTACAAACAAGGATTTCTCAAACCGTGGATTGGGTTTCCTAAAATATCAACACATGTTCAGAAAAAGAAAAAAAGCCTCATTCCTAAAATCTATATTGTAATCCTGTTGTAATACTTTAAAGTCTTTGAATCAAATCATATTACTTCGTGGTGAAAGAGTCTGCCCTACTTTTTCTTCATTAGTAGCTTGAATTAGTTAAGTACCAATTTATAACAAATGTAGTGTTTTATGAGGTATGTTTGAATATTATAAAATAATGTGGATAAAACATTTGAATAAATTTTTTAGAGAAAACATTTCTATTGAAAAATATATTCAAGAAGTAACTGTTTTTTAAAATGTTGTTTTTTAGCACATTATTAGAGTTTATAAGACATTAATTTGGCATTTCCTCAGGAAGGCAAGCTGCTGTACAGACCTTGGTTATATCATGTAGTTTCTACTGCACAGAGAGGCAGAAGCCCCAAAATTTAGGAGTGAGATGCTACTTATTACTGTCTTTTTTTTTTAAGATTTATTCATTTTTTTATACAAGCACTGGGTACAGTCAGAAGCGCGGGAGGGTGAGAGAATTCACCAGAGCCAGAGCGGGGAGCAGAGCAGGCAGACTGAGGAAATACACTGCAGAGGGGAGCAGCGGGAGGCAGGAGAGGTGTGCGTTCCATGTGGGACCCTCACCGGCAGCTGGGGATGGAACCGGTGCTGCCAGCACTCAACCACTGCACCACTGGGAAGGCCCTTATTACAGTCTTTACTGAGATAACATTGCTCTTCACGTGTCTGCTGTCACACCTGGTTGCCACCAATGCCCAAATCATCCTTTGCTTTCTGTGTCTCCCTCTCCTTTTCTCAGTTCTGCAGTCAGGTTTTGAGCATTTGTTTAGGTTTGTTTTTGTCTGTTCCTTTGCTTTATTTCTTTCTGTTCCACATGTGAGTGAAGTCATCTGGTATTTGTCTTTCTCCTTCTGACTTAATTCACTTAACATTACCCCCTTAAGTTCCATTCATGTTGGACCGAATGACAAGAGTAGTTTTCCTAATACCTAATACCCATGGTGAATATGTACACCGTCTTCTTAATCCACACAGGTGTCACTGTGTACTTGGGCTGTTTTCTTACCTTGGCTATGCAAATAGTGATGCAATGAACCCTGGAGTGCACATATCCCTTCAAGTTTGTGTTTTTTGTATTTTTTGGGTAGATACCTAGGAGAGGGATTCCTGAATCATGTGGCAAATCTATGTTTAAAGTTCTCAGGAACCTCTGTATTGTTTTCCACAAAAGTTGAACCTTTTTCCACCAATACTGTATGAAGTTTCCTCTTTTTCCTATACCTTTGCCAGTACTTTTTTTTTTTTGATATGTGCCATTATCACTGGTGTAAGATGATATCTCATAGTGGTTTAGATTTACATTTCCCTGATGATAAGTGATAATGAGTATTTTCCCATGTGCCTGTTGCCATCTGCATTTCCTCTTTGGAGAAGTGTTTACTCTTCTGCCCATTTCTTCATTGGGTTATTTTTGTTGTTGTTCTTGTTGTTGAGTTATATGAGTTGTTTATAGATCTTGGATATTAGCCACTTGTTGATATATGATGAGCAAATATTTTTTCCCATCCTATATGTCCTTTTATTTTAATGATCATTATTTTCACTGTATAGAAGCTTTTAATTTGGGGTAGTTTCATTTGTTTTTGCTTTTGTTTGCCTTGCAAACAAATTGAGTCCCCAAAGATATCACTGAAGCAAGCATTGTGTTTTGTGTGTTTTCTTGGATGTATTTTGTGGTTTCAGATCTTATGTCCAAGTTTTTGATCCATTTTGAATTACTATATAACTGTTTTTAAACACAATTATAATCTCATTCTGATGAATATAATTATAGAATTTGGTTCCACATAGCAAAGTTATTTCTGTGCCTAATTAGTGGCTTGTGAAATGTTATAATGCAGCTGTAGAGAGAAGACATGAATCTTGATAAGTTGCAATTATGTTCTATCTTATGATTTCTTTTGGGGCTAAAATGATATAGATCACCAACAGAATTTCTTTGTAGTTGTTAAACTATATCCAATGGATTGCTGTAAGTTCTGAATTGATCTTTATCCTTAGCATTTTTTCTAATGGTATCTCCAGGATGCTTTTTTATTTCAGAGTTGTTATGCTTGGACAATTAACAGATAAGATGGAAGTTACTCTGGAGCAATTTTGCTAACAATAGTGACTAATTTATTAAAGACCAGCTTGTCCTAGCTAATATTCTATGCCCATCTATATCATATTATCTGAAGATAAAGATGAGGTCCTGAATGTTTAAGTTTTTGAGTTTGACTTAAGAATAGGACTGATATAAAAGAATATCAACTTCCTAAAATATTCTTATTAAAATATTCAAGTCCTTAAATACTAAAATATTCTTATTTATCAAAGTTTACTGATTTGCCATTCATTCATATAACATTGTGTGTGTATGTGTGTGTGTGTGTAGAACTGGGGTGTAGGCCAGAGGTGTGTAGGCCAGAGGTGAGAAGATTCACTAGAGACAGAGTGGGGAGGAGAAGGCAGATCCACTGAAATCCACTGCTGAGGGCAGCAATGGGCAAGACAGGAGAGGTCTGCTGCACCATGTGGGTCAGCTCCCTGGCTGGGGATCAAACTAAGGCCACAGCAGTGATAGCACTGAAACTTAATCCTTAAGCCACTAGGGGGGGCCATTTAACTCCATAATTCTACACTTTTGAGAGTGTAACTTTGCCTGTGACTGTGCATGTGCTCCCTGCCCCTCCCACAGAGCTCCAGTGCCAACACACATTAATGTTGTTCCTACCTCCTTCCCCCTCTGATAACCACTATATTTTCCACAGAGTCTCAGTTATCTTTGTTGTGTTTTACCAATTAAAAATGACTTTTAGTGTGAGGGGATAAGTATTTGAAAGTATAGGTGAGATGAATGACACAGATGATAAAGATTACTTGCCATCTAATACATGTGAGAAAACTGTCAGTTTAAATTCTCAAAAGAATAGTTGTTGGACCTCCCTGGTGTCGCAGGGGAGTTAAGTCTCAGCACTATGAAGCTATTGCCAGCCACTGCAGCATGAGTTCAATCCCTGGCTGGCCAGGGAGTTTACCCACATGTTGCAACAGACCTCTCCCTCCTGCCCACTGCTCCCCGCAGCAGTGGATTTCAGTAGATCCGCCTGTTCTGCTGCCCCTCTCTGTCTAGTTGCTATTACTATGCAAATCTGATTCCAGGTGAGGGAGAGAGGGAAAGAAGAAGGCCAGGGGGGAGCAACTTGGACTGCAGTGCAGTTTCAAGAGTAGGGCCGGCTGCTGGTCTTTAAGCCAGAAATGCCTGTTAGAGGTATCTGTTGTCTTCCAAGAACAGAGCTGTCGTAAAAGTCTTTCTGGGCTCAGTCAGTGATGGATGGAGAGCAAACTGTGGGGAGTACGGGCTTGACTCAAACACAGTGATGAATTTCTTAGTGCAGCAACTAAGGTAGTGGATCAATTACATTCCTCACAGTTGAAGAACTTAAAGGCACATTGTCAGAGCATCCACAGTATCAAATAACTACTTGTATGGTCACATTATTTTGATACTGCATTTCTTCTTCAAGAAACAAAGAAGTATTCAGAAGTGAGCTTGAAATGGAATCAATGCTTAAAAGGGGGAAAGAAAATCTTGAAATATATTGTTGGTGGAATTTGGGGTATTTTCTTACATAGATATTCACTAGTAAGGTAGATAAAATACTTTTATTTTTCAATATCTCCCCTTAAAATGGAATATAATGAGAATTGTTTGCACTTGCTATAGAAAGTTTTGGAGGTAATGTAAGGATTAGAAATTAAACATTTAAAGAAAATAAAAACCCAATGAGAGGCGAGCCAATATTGAATCGAAGTGTGAGACATATGTAAAATAGTTATATAATAAATATATGTTCCCCATATGTCATATATAATTGACTTGCAGGTAATGAGTTTCTGTCTCTAGCCTCTAGGAAAGAAACAGACAGGGGGGTGGATTTAGGTTCTATCCAAAGAAAAATTTCCTAAATATTAATGTTACAGAAACTGTTGCTAAGAGTGGTTTATAATATCTTTCTTTGAGTTCTCCAAAATAAAGTTAGTTGGTATTTCTCTGTATCTGTGGAAATGACAGTATGATCCAACTTCAAATTCTGAACTGACGTCCTGAGATCACATTTCTGGAAGACCTGGGCTCATTTCTTTCAGGCTGCCGACTAGTTGGAAATGACCCACAGTGGCTTCTATGTCATTTTATGAAAAACCACTTGCTTCCCTTTAACTCTATCTAATTCGTTTTTTCAAAAGAATAACGGTTGAATGCTACTCCGTGATTGGTGTCTCATTACTTAATGTGTTCCTGGCACATAAACTTATTTTCTAATGAACAGTTGAGTTAATAGGTATGTGACTTGTTGGGGAGATGGGCACAAGCTGATACAAATTCCTGACATCAGGATGCTACCATATCATGGAAAGAAAAGCTAATAAGTAAAACTGAAGTATGTCAGATGACATGCGTATTAGGAAAAACTCTCTGGGAAAGAGGACAGGACAGCAGGAATGCTCTGTGTGTGTGCATCTCTGCATTCACTTGTGTCTCGTTACAATGTGTGGTGGTGGGATGAGAAAGGATTACTCAGAGTCCATGTGCAGAACAATGAAAACCTAGAGAACTACACCACGAAGATCCAGTCCCACTTAAAGGGCAGCCTAATTTTTATGTAGAATAAGACAGAAAACGAGAAAGTCTCCCTGGTGGCGTAAGGGATTAAACACAGCACTGCGAAGCTATCTGCAGCCTCTGCAGCATGAGTTTGATCCCCGGCCAGTCAGATAACTACCCACATGATGCAGCAGACCTCTTCTGACTTGCCCGCTGCTCCCCACAGCAGTGTATTTCAGTAGATCTGCCTGTTCTGTTCCCCACTCTGTCTACAGTGAATCCTCTCACCCTCACACGTCTGGCCTGTATCCCAGTTCTTGCATGCATGCATAAATAAATCCTTAGATTAAAAAAAATAGATTAAACAAAGAAAGAAAACAAAAGAGATCAAAGAAGCAAGCAGGCAAATGGGGAATGCACAAGTGTGTGGGGGACCCGAACCAGCTGGCCCCAGCCAAGACTGGGAAATCAGAGAGTCAAGGGAAGCCTTAGTGTTTTTGCTGCTCTAACCATAACATCTATTGCTGTTTCTGAACATGTTGTTTTCACATGTATAGATCCTCACACCAGGACTTTTGCCATGAGAGGCTCCTTTTCTCAAACTTTTTCTGTTTTTGCACACTGAGAGGCACAGAGAAGTAATAATTAAGGCAAAGACACAGAATAGTTGAGGCACAGAATAATCCAGCCCCCCCACACACACACTTGTATGTAATTCTAACTAGAATGAGAAAGCAAAGATTTACCCAAGGTGCCAATTTCTTACTCGATAGAATTGTTTCTGAATTTGAAAGTATGTAGGGGATGATGAATAAGTACTCTTACTATTCATGTGATGGAAAGTCACAGAGTATTGTGCTGTAGAGTGACATTACTAAGCAAAAGAGTGATATGATGTGACTCTGACACTGATGTCTGGCTGACAGGTGGAGAAGAGACTACAGAGAGGCAACGGTGGAGGCAGGAGTTCAGGTAGAGATGGCTGTAATCCAAAAAAAACCCAAAAAACAGAAGGCGGGTTTTCTAAAACAATGTGTAAATGCTGAGAAAGTATGATAGACAAAGGCTAGAATGTTTCACCTTAAAAGGGAATCTTTTTAGTAATTATGTAAAATGCAATGATCTAAAGATTCTGTTCATATTAAGAGATGCAATAAAAAGTGTTTTATTAAATTCATATTGAGAATTGTGCATTTTTTCATTCAATAGAATACTTATTTGGGAAGATGGCAGCTTGGAAATTAGTAACATCACAAGGAATGACGGCGGTATCTATACATGCTTTGCAGAAAATAATAGAGGGAAGGCTAATAGCACTGGGACTCTTGTTATCACAGGTAAGAAGGCATTTGATTAATAATTTAAGTTTGCTGGTGCTAATTTCTAATGTATATGTGACTCAGTGCTATGCTTATTGTTCAGATATGTTCCCATTTCAAATGCGTCCTGGGCAAAGTTCTTACTTGATGAAATCGTTTCTGAATTTGAAAAACATTTTATGCCTTTACACAGAGAAACCAAAATTTATTGATTGTTATGCTTTCACTGTACCAGATGATATAGTTCTCCTATTTTCTTAAATTGTGCTTTACTCCTTTATTTAAAAAATGTGCAGATCCTACACGAATTATCTTGGCCCCGATTAATGCTGATATCACTGTGGGAGAAAACGCCACCATGCAGTGCGCTGCTGCCTTTGACCCCGCCCTGGATCTCACATTTGTCTGGTCCTTCAATGGCTACGTTATCGATTTTAACAAAGAGAATATTCACTATCAGCGGAATTTTATGGTATGTGTTTTAAGTTTCATCTTGTTACCATCACAATGAACCCCTGCACTGAAACTCGTGTTTCTATGATCGTGTTCAGGAGTCTGAAACACAGGCAAAAAGACTGTCTTCATTTTTAAAATATTAATTATAGTACTCCTGAATTTCCTAAAAGTTGGCTACTAGCCCTAACAATTTTGTGTAGGACCTCCTGGAGGCCTAGGGGTTAAGTCTCAGTGCTAGCACCACAATGGCCCACCGCTGTGGCCTGAGTTTCATCTTTGGCCAGGGAACTGACCCACATGGCGCAGCAGATCTCTCCTGTCTCGCCTGCTGCTCTCCTCAGCAGTGGATTTCAGTGGATCCACTTGTTCTGCTCCCCACTCTGTTTCTGGGGAATCCTCTCATTCCCCCCATGTCTGGCCTACACCCCAGCTCTTCGATACAAAAATAAAATCTTTTAAAAAAATTATAAAAAAGAATTTTAGTGGAGATATTATTAATCAATAATATGGGCTTTTTCATCCATTTCCCCCTTAATTTTAATACAATTTTTATATGTTGTGTGCTGTTCTTCAGTATATCTGTCATCTGGAGAGCCCAGTGCCTTTGCTTTCACTTTATTTTTATTTATTTATTTTGAAACATTTTGTAAAGATTTTAATTATTTATTTATTTTTGCACAGAAAAACTGGGCTGTAGGCCAGATGTGTGGCCTCACACCTCAGAGGGGTGAGAGGATTCCCCAGAGACAAAGTGAAGAGCAGAACAGGCAGATCTACTGAAATCCACTGCTGAGGAGAGCTGTGAGCAAGACAGGAGAGGTCTGCAGTGCCATGTGTGTCAGCTCCCTGCCCGGGGGTGGAACTCAAGCTGTAGGGGTGACAGCACTGAGACTCAACCTATAGGCTACCAAGAAGGCTTTCACTTTAAACAACTTGAGAGCATAGCACTAACCTTTGAGATAGTGTTTGTGTAAGATGTTTACACATCACTGGTGCCATGATGAGGCTGGCAAATTTACAGAGTATTTAAAAGACACATGGATCACTGCAGTCTTTTCTCTAGAAGGACATCCATTTAAGGGCCTAAAGGTCTATGTAGACATATGCTTGGTTAACCTTCATTTTAGAAGTCAATTATTAATATAGAAATATTTTTATTAATTCAGTAGACTATTGAAGAATTTTAAATCCTTTAAAATTTCAAGATTGATATGTACATAGTATAGTAATATTATGCTTTCAAATGGTCTAGTTCTTTAGAAAGTTCTTCTAGAACTTTTTTTCTAGATCTCATTTTCTGGAACCAAAAAAACCTTTTGGTTTTTGAAAAGCTAAAAACAAACTTTCAGGCAAGTTGAGGAAGACCAAATTTATCTAAATGGAGACATTTCTTAAATTTGTATTAGATTCTTAGAACACACACTGATGCAATATGAGTGTTATGCCTTCTACAGGTTAACTTTTTCTTTCTCTTCCAGTTTCTTTCTCTTTGATCTGATAGATCTAGCTATTACTGTAAATCCACAGTAAGACTGATAGTATTTCAGTTTCTGAACCAAACCTCTGTTTTGTATACCGCATCTGGGAATTGATGGAGAATTATTTTTACATTATATCACATGATATTTTTTGTTTCTATGTCTGAAACTATTCTGAGAGGCTTAATTATAAATATGTTCAAGATGAGTAGAATTGCCACCAATATCTTTAATCATTTTTTCAAATTGTGTTTGTTTTGCAAGAATAGTAACAGCACTCAGTTTTTACTCTTTTTAAGGAAAAAGTGAGCCAAACAGAGACCTTAGTTTAAAACAATAGATATTTGGATTTGGTGTTATAAATTGAATAATTTCAAAAATAAGACAATCATAGCTTGTGCACATTGATACGTAATTACTGGAGCGAAGTCTATGTAAATATATTTTGGTGTGTAAGTTGCCCTCAATTAAATTGAAACTTCATATGCAGAGTCTCTTTATGACCTTTAAAATAATAATTACCATTTCTTGGTTTATGTAAATAAACACTTTTTTTAAATGAAGGAAGGGGTGAAGAAAGAAAAATAAATTATGAGATAAAGAAAAAAAGAGTCCAGTATGCCTTAAAATAAGAGAAAAATTAAATAACTAGAATACTAATTAAGAAAAAATAAATTGGATAATAAAAATGCAGAAGACTTTGGTCATCACTTACTCTACCTCTTCTTTTTTTGCAAATGATCATCATGGGCTCTTATAGCTGCCTCTCTGCTACTCCTGAACAGAATCCTAATTGTAGACTCTGGTTTTACCCTCCCAGCTTTCAGCTTATTCCACCAAATAAAAATGATCTGTCAGTGGTAGACTAAATATGCAGCTTAATTAGATGAAATTATCAAATGTACGCTTTTGACACTTTGTAGATAGACAACGAGGATTCAATACATTAAACAATTTTTGAAAATCCAGGAAGCAGTATTTATTTTAAAATTAATTATTAAACTTAATTCTGTCTTTGAACCTAAGAAAAACCTACAAAGCTTTCCCTTGCTTTTTCCTTCTTTTTTAAGGCAGACTTCAAAGTCAGACTTTACCGCTAAATATACTAAACAACACTAGAGTAAAAATGCCATATGTGTTTGATCCACCTTTGAAAGATGGCCCTAATGGATTGTAATTGATTCTCAAAAGGACAGGCTCTTCATACCCAGAGTGTAGTGAGTGCAAACATAATGGAATTAGCAGGTGTTGGGTAGAGTAAATGCAAAATGATATTTTACTTAATTCTGGCAAAATTTCAATAATTGAATACCAGGTTCATTTTAAAATATTGTTCTGAACACAAACCACAAGCAGGAACAGTGATAGGCACTAGGGTGAACAGAACACTGAATAGGACAAACACAGGTACTGATCCAAAGTAAACCAGATAAGAGATACCCTGTGAGTTTAAAATTTAGGTGTAAATATTTTGGTAACTATCACAGTTATCAAAACTAATGTCATTAAAAAAAACCTGATAGCATTATTATGTTTTAATAGTTTATTTTTTTTTTTATCAAAGATTCATTTATTTATGCATACGAGAGCTGGGGTACAGGCCAGAGATGCGGGGGGTGAAAGGATTCACCAGAGACAGAGTGGGGAACGGAACAGGCAGATTGACTGAAGTACACTGCTGAGGGGAGCAGCGGGTGAGTCAGGAGAAGTCTGCTGCGCCATGTGGGTTGCTCCCTGGCCAGCCGGGAATTGAACTTGTGCAGCAGAGGCTGTGGATTGCTTCATAGTGCGGTGCTTAACCCCTTGCACCACCAGGGAGGACCTTTTTTAATAATTTAATTGGCTAAAATTAATATCATAAGCTCTAAGTAATAAAGACTATAGAAATAAAATTTTAAACTGCTTATTTCAAGAAACTAACAATTTTCCGATTTAATTTCAAGAATTAATTTTATTCATGTTTGCTATTCCTGATTTTGACCACCAAGTGGCAACCTTGCACAAGGTTTGAAATTTCACAGCCTAGAATCAGAGGAACTTGAAGCTCGTGAAATTAAACACTTTTTCCCACACTGTCTAAGATAGGCAATGAAAGATGATTTTAAAATTTCCTCTTTATACTTTTTAATTAGATTCATATCATGAAAAGGTATCTTTATTTTTGAAGATATGTATTTAAGACTTTATAGTAATCCCTCCCCTCATAAATATGACATTCCCATTACATATAATGATCCTAGTTATGAAAAATTCACTGAATAAAGCTTGTTCCCAGCTCTGCCATCTCAGGCTCCATCTTCTCACTTCTGATTCTGTGACCCTGAGCCAGTAATTGAAACTCTCTAGGCTTCCCCCTTCCCCCTCTGTATAATGTTTTTAATAACTCACTCACTTCATTCAGGTTACTTCATTGGGTTTGCAAAACTGGTTACTTCATTGTATTTTTCTAAGGATTCAGTGAGAGAACACTTGGCATGAGTCCTGGCATATTTTATGTGGTTATTATTAATATTCTTTATAATAGAGCAATCATTCTTCATTGAAAATTCCAGAAGCTTTTGCCAGATAATTTTTTCCCGGTTAAAGATCTCATTTTTCATAATTTAATTCTCCTACTGCTTGCTGTACTAGATATTTCCTTGGAGACAAAAAGAAACTCTAGATATGCTTGGTGAGGACAATGGAGAGGTTGTAATAATCAACATGAATTAAGTGTTTACTGATTGGTCTGCATTGGATTAAATGTTCTTCATGTTTTTCTCACTCGTCCTCCATAGCAATCCTCTGTGGAGCATATATTATTGTAGTTTCCTCAGCTTTCAAGTTAAGAAAACTAAGAGTTAGAAAGTTAAGTACTGAATTTGGGCAAGTCAGTTACTTACCCAAAATAATCATGTAACTTGCTAATTGTAGATGGAGGGTTTGAAACCAGGTTATCACCACCATTTTTTAATTAATCAGTTAATATTCCTGTTTATATCTGTTTAAAAAAATCCTCCTCCCAGTGTTTCAAATACTAAAAGATAGTACATTTCTATTCATAATTTATTCTATAGTTTTTTTTTTTTTTAAGATTTATTTATTTATACAAGAACCAAGGTACAGGCCAGATGTGTGGGAGGGTGAGAGGATTCACCAGAGACAGAGTGGGGAGCAGAACAGGCAGACTGATGAAATTACACTGCTAAGGGGAGCAGTGGGCACGATACAAGAGGTCTGCTGCGCCAAGTGGGACCCTCGCTGACCGGATCGAACCGGTGCTGCAGAGGCTGTGGAGAGTTTCACAGCGGGGGGGCTCAACCGCCTGCACCACCAGGGGAGGCCCTATCTGTAGTCTTGTTTTAAGGAACTTTTATGTTCATTCAAGGTCATCAAATCGCCTTATTCTCCCTACACCATCAGCAGTCTTTGCAATACATTGTAAATCAAGTCTGCAGCATTTCAGGTGGTCTAACTAGAAAGAGTTGGTAATTCTTTTTTTTTTTTAATAATAAATTTTATTTTTATATTCCCCATACAATTGCAACCCCCACCTTTT